CAGAGTGGTAATAGCTATCTTCAGGTAATATTTAAGTCACTCTGATCTTCATATGGGGTTCTGGGCTGTGCTCCAGAGTAGGTTTTTCATTACTTATAATGTAAAGACAACTTTATAGAGGTCATTTTGAGGAAATTTGGTGGGAAACATAAAATGCAATCAGATTAATCAATACTGAATATAACCACCAAATGCTATTGGCTCTTTAAATTTGAGCATAGAACCTATGGACTATTTATATTTTCTGTATGGATGGACCTGGAATAATGTGTGTGAATCTTCTTTTCTATAGCACATTGGTAACCATGTTTTCATATTGTGTTTTATCCACAGTAGCTTGGAGGATTGCACAAGGTCATTTGGTGGCCATTGTGGTTCTGTGATTAAAAATCCTTTGTTTGTACACACGTAGGCTAGTGGCTATGCCAACATTTCCAACATTTTTCCCCACAGTTCAAATCATCTGTACAATCAATGGATGACATTGAAAAAAAATCTAGACTCATTAACAACTCTTTCTTTAGTTTTGGAGCTATTTCAGTCTGGAAAGAAGTAGTTGACCAACAATGCTGGTTGCAACGCAAGTTCAGTTGTTAGCCTGGCTTCAAATCAAATCTGTTCAGTACATAAAACAAGGTAATAAGTCAACTTTGATTAACATGGAATATTGTGGATCAATATGAAAAGAAAAGTTGTTTGGTTATGCAATTCTGTTCTATTTATAGTACTTTCTAAAGTTGTATCTTTTCGTGGCCATATTACTTTGTCCCTCAGATAGAAAAAAGACTAAGCATAGCCAGAAGCAATTAACCTGCCTTTTCAGAGACCTAAATATCCTCTTCTTAATGTGAAGTGTGGACTGAAGAAGTGACGAGGTCAAGTCCTTGATGAGCTTTAATTGGACAGCTCAGTAGACTTTTTTAGATTTCCCACCCATGACAATAACTGAAACCACAAATTTGGGTTAATACTATAAATATAGTGCTTATTTTTGATCATCCTCTATTGAAGTTCCAGCAGGCTACAATAGAAGGTAAAAAGTCTTGCCTGCCTTGTTTAGCTTTGCAGAACCTCATGCATATGAGATTACTGTGCTGTCATGTGCCCACATGGATTGTGCTGTGGGAAAACCCAATCCAACGTGAAAATAGCTAGTCCTAAAAAACAGAAAACAACAAGAAATGCAGAAACATTCTATTAATCTAGTGTTGACAAATCCTGAGGGTGATTTTAAACTTCTGATGAACTTGTGGCAAACACAAACACGATTGTCTTTGCTAGTTTGTCCCACTTGTGACACCTTGGTGACAGTGGTTTTTACCTGGGGTCTAGCTTGATCAAAATACATACCTACCTGTACTTTCCACTTAAAAAGACAAAATATGTTGTAGGTGTCTCTCCACCGTACCACCACTGGTGAGGAGGCTGTGATGACTGCGTCACTTTCCCTTTGTGAAGACACCATTTGTTAAAGTGACAGAATCGGTCGGAGCACTGCAGTCCTGGGACCTGTGTGTGTGCTGTGATGATAACACTGTATGTTACTTTGGTAATACAATGATTGAAGTGTCAGTGTGTGCTTAGGTTCCTTAGAGAGCACAGACATTACAAAGCCAACAACCAACATCCATCTATCTTTGTATGTGTGCACGTGTACATGTGTGTACTGGAGAGTATTGTGACAGCTTAGTGCTCCCTGCAGTGTACATGTGTACTTACAAGATCCTCTTTGTGTCAGCAATGCCTCTCTTTGTGTGTGTTCTTGCACATTCTGCACAACACTGGAGGGGGAAAGCCCTAATTCCTCCACAATATCCTGCTGCAGAAAGATAAACATGGTTTGCAACAAAGATAATTACCACATGACATTCTGGTCCTTTATCAGTGAACTTTGAACCCAGGAAGTGAGCTTACGAGGATGGCATTCTCACAGCAGGCCGCTGAACGGAGCAGTATGAGTTTGCAACATGGCGTCAGGCCCTGCGAAGCAGCTGCACACAGCTGGAGGCCAGTTTTTACCAGGAACCGAGAGGGAAGAGAGGGAGGAGATAGAGGGATGAGGCCAAGGAGCAGGCTTCAAAGTTAGGAGACATCACTACATGGGGAGGATGGGATATGGGCCACTGTCCTGCTCTTTCTCAAAAAAAGAATCAAGTGCATTTCATCAGCTATGTGAACTGAAATGCTTTAAAAAATACGGAAAGTAGAAAATAAAAAGTGACTTTCAAGAACTGACTAGAATTACAGTTATTTTGTGGAATCTTATGATAACTATATTTCCTGCTTTGTCTAAAAATAACAACAAATAAATGCCAAAATTCTAATTCAAAATATGGAGCCACACTCATGATGGAGGAAACACACACAACAATTCAAAACAGAAAAAACAAACAAAATTGTCATCAGCATAAACTTGAGTAACATCTTTTTTACGCTCTTTTTTCTTGCTTTGGTATGCTGATGGTATGTTATTTACTTAAATAAAATTCAAGTTAAAGGACCAATGTGTACAATTCAGTGGCATCTAGTGGTGAAGTTGCAAACTGCAACCATTTGAATACAGCTCAGCCATCCTTCCAAGTGTTTGTATGGTGTCCATGAAACTCACAAAAAACTCTAAAATCCCTATCTATAAGGTTTGTCCATTCTGGGCTACTGTAGAAACACAGGAATTCTATGAAAGAGGACCCTTCTCACTCTGTAGATAAAAACGTCTCATTATAAGGTAACAAAAACAAAACTGTTTGATTACACACTAATGAAAACCTGTATATTATATTCCATTTCTACCAATAGATCCTGCTAAATGTGACACACTGGTCCTAGTAAAACTGTCAGTGATGGTGAAATCCGAGCCCATGTAGAAACAGTCTCAGTGTCAAAAAATATGGAAAAAGCAGAGCTGTATTTTGGATGATTGCATATTACCCCGGTTCAAAATGGGAAATGAATTTTACACATCATGACTTTGTTTTCTCATTATCATTACTCTCCGAGTGGAACCACACTTTCTGTATCAGTAGCAGCTAGGGGAGTGAATTTCAACAGCACATTGCCAGGCAAGATGATGAATGGTGCTGGTTAATCTTCTCCTGCGTTACTGCATTATCGTGTGCCACTGTTGGAAAAGTTCTTATCTACTCGGACAGAACTGCCACATGCATCATAGTTCTAGCACACCTGCCCTCTATCTTCATGTCTATGGCTCCATCTCCCCTTAACTTTCACTCTCTCTACCTCCCTCACTTCCACCCTTCTTTTGTCTTTCCCATCACCCCTGTCGTTTCAGTACCATGGGGGTTTTTTTTAGATAAAAACAAGACCGAATTGGTGGCATTGTCAAGCATACTGTGTTCATTGTTTCCTGAATTAGGGAGGGCAACGTCCTGTTTTCTCTCTGTGCACATCTGTCTGGGAACATCTGGATAGTGTCAGCCTTTCAACATTGAGCAGAGCGACCATCACTCTTTCCCCTGTCTGACACATCTCATCTCCTCCCAGTCAGCTTAAAAAAAAAAGAAGAGAAAACGCAAGTCTTCCACATTAAAATCACACAACAAATTGACTTTAACAATGGGTGTTCGGAAATAAAATGCTTTATTAAATGTGGCCAGGAGGAACAAAGATGGATTAGAAACAGAGGCGGAGGTGGTTTAGGTGGAAGCTGGTTAACATATGTGGGAGGGTTTGTGGACAAAATGTTGATAGTCCAATCTAGACAGGTAGAGTGAAGCATGGTGTAGAATGTAGAGTACGGTTAGGTTTAAGAACTGAAGTAATACGCACACCTTTATTCTAGGTCTGGGTGGACACCATAGAAAGGATGAGGTCAATTCACATGTTTAATGTTTAATTAAAAATATAATTTAAATTGTGTCCAGATTTTATCCCATATGTAAAAAAAAGAAGAAAGATAAATGGCATTTCATGGTTATTTTCATAAAGGCAGGATTCTGTCTTTTGATGAAATCTGTCAAAGACACCTATGGCAAGGTTCAGTAGGATAGATGTCTGTAAGCATTCAACCACACTCTTACTTAAGCTAAAAAGCTAAACTAAGATAAATGTAATAGATTTTGTTTATACTGTATATGTGCACTTGAAAGTTTCTTTCATTTTGTAATTTTTGCCTTATTCTTTACTGATCTTATTACATTTTTTTTTACTGGGAGTGGATTTTGATCTTTCTTTCCTCGACTTTAAATACTGTATGCTTAACTCAGATGTATATTTATTTTATTTTGTAGACTTATTGTTCAATTTGAATATAAGAAGTAAGGACTATATTAATAGTCAATTCTTAGTGTCTGGACATTCATGGTGAAGACCTTTTTTGGTTATGAATGACCTCTCTATGGACTCCTTCTCCGGTCATGTTGATTGCCCTGTGAACTCAGTGATTTGAAACACCTGTCCTGTACACTATATATGTCAGTCGGATGATTGCTGGCTTTTATCCTGAAGAAAGCAGGATGTGCCAAAAGATTGATCAAAGGAACGTAAAATAAAAAAAAAGATGACATCTGAGTTATGAGTGCTTGACTTTTACTTGCGATCTTTTAAACATATGGACATACGCTTACAGTTAAACTTTATTTTTTGGTGTGCAACATCATCACAAGATAAAATAAAAACACAGGAGCAGGTCTATCATCATCCATTTTTTGGAAAATATTTTGCGAATATTTATTATAAAAATATAAATGTTTCCACTACAAATCATTTTACATTAGTAGACAAGGCCATCTACATTTGCACACGTAAACTCTCACGCAGACATACGGGTCAGTCTTGAGACAGAAGATGAGGGATCTGGATATAGGGTGCATAACAGTATTGCTCTCTCAGATGTCCCAGGTTTATAAAGTAAGTCAAAAACCAAAACACAGACAGCACTGACACATAATTTACTGTATGCTACAAAAAAACATCAACATTGCGCTGTATAATGTTAACCAATAAATAATAATGTAATCATAATTGCCTTTTTATTGTAGAAAAGAAAAAAACAGAGCAGACAAATATAATTCAAAATAAGATAAAATATAATACAGATGGTTTTTGTCTCTTTTTTAATTAAAAATGTTGCACAATTTTTTATTTATTCTTTTATACATACAAACATTTGTACAAAGAAGGATGGCCATGTACATATAGTTGGATCTGTAGCGCTAGTTGCTATCATTAAGATGGTTTACATTATGTACATGCTAATTAGAACACATAGCAGCAACAGCAGCATCCACAGGTAGACCAAGTAACAGAGGACCGACTGACACACTGAACAGGGCTGGGTTTCCCAAAAGCACCAAGATCACCCCTGTCCATTAGATAAGCTTAATCTATAGCCAAGGCAATAACATTTCCATTCAAAGTGCTCAAATATTTTGTACTACAGTAAGTGCTTGGAAGAAGCTTAAAGATAGCATCCTCGTCGTTAAATATCACCCATCCAACAGCACAAAGTACCAAAGTGCCAGTTTAGAAATACTGGGTATATGTTGCACTGAGGGATTAACTGGGTGACATCAAAGCAGGATACTGACATCTTTAAGTCTATACTTCATAGTACAAAGATCATCTAAGTTCTAAGGTGCCTTTAGGAAATCCCATCCTGGACATATGATGCACTAGGATACTATCTCAGAAAGCAATCATTTATTGGAAGTGTTGCATCTCTTTCAGGGCATTTTCACACCTTGTTAGTTAAGGGCAGTGATTAAAAACCCCATGCCCTTATGAAAACACAGAAAAAAGACCAAGACCTTTTTTTTTTTTGAAAAATAAATCAAAACCGGAGCTTTTTGCTTGGTGATCCCACCATAATCCAACCCAACTACAGGAGGCACTCTACTTTTTGCATTAAACACACCAGGATTTAAGAACTAATTTCATACTAGAACAAAGTTCTTTTTTACAGCAAATGTATGCTTTTGTTAATAAGTTATGAATTCAGACCAAAACAAGTGGACCAAAACACCCCTCAGATCAGCAGTGTTGAACTGATCGTACGCAGAGAACAAATCCCACTCCTTAAAAAGAAAGTGATACCTGATGGTGTGCGGGGGTTGATGATGCTGACCTGACCTGATGCTGAAGAAGAAACTCAAGTACAAACTCAATTCTAGTTTAAAACACTTTCCGCACAGCAAGAATGTCTGAAGCAGGCCTGAAAGACACCACTTCATCTTATTTAATGTCTCTTTTTCCTCATATATTTCTGTCTTACAATTTCCCCTTTTCTTTTGCTCCTGTCTCAACCTGCACTCTCAATTCCTTTTCCATTCTCTCGATCTGTTTCCCCTTGTTAGAGAAAGTAGAACAACTGACATATACATCCTGAGATTTCACACAAAGGGCATTGGGTTGAGGGAACGGCACTATAACTGTACAATATATGTTCATAAGCACATAGAACATAGATCTCACCATAAAGAAAATTCTGTGTGTGAAGTGTGTTATGGCCCCTGTACCTTCGAAGCACAGCGTTCAATACATTGTACATGTGACAGACTCATGGTTTCCATACAATGAGACTATTTAACTGATTATCATAATTATTGCTTTTATGTGACATGTCTACTGAATGCAAATGCTATAGGTTAGAGCTACAGAGTAAAATGGCTCGGTTATCGTCTAGGTGTGTCCATACCAGCTCTCATGGATAGAAACAGTAAATGTAGGTAGTTACAACAAAATCTCACACCTCATTAGTCCAAGAAGGGTCCACATCCGGGTGAGCTGCTGCTGTCTGCCATGCTCTTCTACACAAGGCATATCTCAGCCATTTCACCGCCTCGTTCCACAGGCTGCAAGTCAGGCGTGGTGGGAGGAGGCTGTGAGCATGCCCGTCCCCTTTAAACTGTAAAGGGAAGGCAACGCAATCTAGCTTAGCCAATATTGGAGAGCTCCGGCATTATGTTAGTCCAGTCCTTGCCCTATATCCAAGTCCAAGTTTGGATCCCAGGTCTCACTGACCTCCTTGGCTTCATTCTGCGCTCTCTACCCCCCCTATTTGTCTGTAAGGCATCTCAACTTGGGCATGGAGGGACGGAGGGCTGAAGAGTCAGCTAGTTAACTAGCTGGCAGGTCTGCACTGAACTCTTCCCGTTTTCCCTGTCAGGACTTGATATCGTCTTTCAACGAAACAATGAAAGCCCTCATTTGAATCATATCATATTTTTCCTCCATTTCCATCCGTTTCGAGTTCAAATATGAAGCCACCGTGTTAGACTGTGATTAGCAACCACACCGACAGACAGGTCTCTGGTGTTTTTATTTGTTGGGTTCATTTTTTTAAACAGGTACTGGGCCATTCTTGGTGTGGGAATCTAGGGCTTTGAGGCTGCTCACGATCTTCTTCTGCGGTCCTACGATAGTCACTCCAACCTTTTTCAGATCCCTGGTTTGGGAAGGAGAGGGGGGGAGAGAGAGAGAGCGGGAGAAAGAAGTGGGGGAAGACACAATCAGGGGGAAAGATGTTACAGAGGGAGAGATGGGAGAAAAAAAGATGGAAAGTGTGCGTTAGAGTTGGAGGATGTGACACCCATGTGACATTTAATGACATGCTCCCAGTGCTGTTCCCTTCACTTTCCAATTCATCTGTCATTCACAAAGGACTGCATTTCCCAGAAGGCCACTGGGCTCGGGTGTTGCCTCCACTCTCCATCACTACCAAACAGGGAGGTGGACCTAAGGGGTTACACTGACAGCTGCTAATATGACCCTGTCAGTGGAGGAAACAGTGGCATACTAAGGCCACAGTGGCATAAAAGACCTAGTTTCCTGCATTGCACTGAACTGGATTTCTTTGACAGGGTAGGTTTGTGGAGAGGAGGAGCACTGGTACATGTGTAGGATATTACACTCTGATTCAGATAAATCTGTTTACTTGTTAATTAGAAGCTCTTAAAAGATTAGTTACATGCATTCAAGTGTAAGAAAAGACCATTTGTATAGGAAGACTATTTAGAGCTACAGCATCAGTTTCACATCAGATACACACAGTAGTTAGTCAGCTCCATTAGACAATCAAGCCCTTTTTGAGACATACAGTGCCAATAACCTTAAAATACATATTATATACAGAGCACTACACACATCATTGATATTACAGTTCAAAAGAAGTCACAGTGCATGTTAGGACTCATCGCTTCTGCTCATCTAGTAGTATAATAACAATGGTATTGTATTAGTAAAAGCGGTGGGGTTGAAGCCAAAGTGGTGGCATTACTACAACATACACTTCTCAGCCATTGAGACATTTTAGTGTTATTTGAAAATGGACGCAGTAAGGTTTGTATTATTGAGATGCAAGCAAGAGTATTTATTTCTCCAAAGCAGTCAAATTAGCAGACATTTAGACATGTCCTGACAAGCCAGAAACTGAGAGTGACAAAAATCACAAGGTTGCTTCACTCTGTGCTACAATATAAAGGGATAGTTAACTCAAATTAAGTAATTATTTAAATGTAAACTTTACAATTTATTGTTTACAATGAACAAGACCAAAGGAGTTTTTGCCTTTTTTTGCACTAACAAACAGCATCAGTATGCCACAATGTGGCTAGGTTTCCATAATTATGGTGTCAGACTCTATAACAGTGTTTGTATATGTTTAAATTAGTTATAGCTTGTAGTTAACTTACAGCTATTTAGTAATAACTAACTAATAACTAACTATCCCTTTAAAAGCCAGACAAGTGAGAGCCCCATCAGTGGTTCTAGAAGTAGGTTACTGCTCCCAGGCGGGGCTTAGGTCTTGGTCCTCCACCCACCATCCAAAGGAGGCGGAGAGGAGCTGGGCGTTAAAGAGTGGTGATTCCCATGGATGGCTCCCATTCTGGGCAAGTGGCCGGTGTGACGTGGACCTCCGTCAGAACCACTCTACTGAGACACAGCCAGGCCCGGCAACATTAATACTTTAAACTTGATTGATCATCATCAATACGTGCTTTCGCTAAAATTGTATTTAAACCACATTTTACCTGTGAAAAAAATCAAACTAAATCACATACTTATACAGTGTAAAACAGATACAGGAAAGGAAAATACTCTGAACCATGGACATAATGGATGTATGTTTACACACGGGAGTGTAAACATTGTATGACCTCAAAATATACAGAAAATGTATTGGTCAGTAGCAATGAGTGTAAACATCTTCCTCATTTTAATCAGATGGGCCTTTTTTATGCAAGTAAAGCCACATGAATCATCTCAAGAACACAGTGATAATAATAATAATACAATATGTGAGGTATGATTATTAATCACACTAATATAAACACTTAAAGAAACACAGACAGTTAAAAATATTCCCATCATTCAGAGCAAAACTTCTGCAGAGTATTCTGTCTTCAGTGTAGTTACACTTGAACACAAGAAAGAGGATGCTGGGTAGTTCAGAGTATGACAAGGTTTTCCTGTACCAGGAAGGATTTGATATACCGGTCCTGATTGAGGCCTGGAATCCTGTAGACTGTACTAGACCATATGTGGTTGTACAAGAAAATGTCAGTGTTTTCTCACTTCAGATTGCTTGTATAGCAGTTTAGGTCAAGTTCATCACTTCCTCAGTCAAATACCTGAAATGAACTTTGCATGCACTCTATCCAGATGAAGAAAATAGTCCAAATGATGCAGTATTTCCTAGTCAATCCATTCTAGTCTTGAAAAAAAGGACTTCAATTACTCCGGCAGATGAGTCAGCAAACTGCAGCCAAGTATGATTACTGTTCCTCAGAGGTCAGAGCATTGCCAAGCCTTGTGCTGAATATCAAGGACTAGATTAAGACTGTACAGATCAATAGAGCAATCCATATTGAGCAATGCATCGTCTCAGCCAAGTTTGCTAGCCTTGTAGCTGAGCTAGCCTTAGGTGCCTTAACTTCAGCCTTCAGTGGATTAATACTACAGTGATCCAATTTAGCATCTAGCTACGAAAAAAGTAACATAGACCAATAGGATTTCTTTAGCGAAGTTACTCCCTTGCAGTTTGTCTGCGACGTATTTGTCAATACCTAATGTGGATTTCTAGGCAGTCTGCAGTGTAAGCTTTTTTGTTTAATAACATGTTGACTGAAGGGAACTTTTCATTGATTAAACATATTCATGGAATAAAGGGCATGAGAAATGTCAGGAGAAAAAATACATATTTTGTGTAGTATCTCTGAGACAAACAAGAATGAGTAAGAAATCCTCATTAAAAAGTCTCATTATTAATATTATCCCATAAATGTTGCACTCTTAAAACTGTAGCTGTATTTCTAGAATAATAACTTCTATATTTTAGTCAGTCAGTGAAACTTATAGCTGCCAAAGTGGGAAGTTGCATCTGGTGAAGATTTGACCTCTTTTCCCAGAGTCTGTCCACGCCACAATTCATCATAATTTAAGAAGGACAAACATTGCTTCTTTCTAACATATTAAAGATCAAGGATCAAGGTAATTTTTCTGTCATTATACAACACAAGGTTGCAAAATTAAACAACAAGCCGAACACCGGTAATGACAGCCATTTTGGTATTGACAGGAGTTACTGCCTGCTGCAGCACTGACCACCACTCCCCAGCAGCCCCCGCTGCTGCCATCACCACAGTGAATGGCTGCTTTGATCACAATGATTAGAAATGTCCAATTATTTACCCAGGCACATTCCACATCAATTAAACGAGCAGCAGGCCAACAGAGGGAGGGAGAAAGGAGAGAAAGGCAGGGAAATAAGACAGAGAAAAAAAAATTGCCAAATATACATTTATATAAAACCAGTAAGCTGTCTTTAATTTCCCAGAGTAGCTGCACTCTCAACTGTTAGTCTAAAGGAGGATCGCTTAGAAGTTGTAGGTTTTACAAACATGTATTTTAGAAGTGACAAATAGGTGGGGATTGGTGGAACAGTGACTAACCAGACTTTGTCATATGTTCAGTGTTACACAGGTCAACATACTGTAGTCCTGCAATGTGTGCTCTGGATTTTGTTCCAAACTATTTTCTGACAGTCTTTGCTTGATCTTTGCTTTGTTTTTCAATGCTTCACAGTAAAGAGAGTGCCATGCATACCTATTTGACAGCTATGCCTTTTTTGCTGTTTCCAAGGCTCCCCTCTCTCTCCTCTTTTATCTTGTCAAATCTCCCCTTTCATTCTCTCCCTCAATAGTTTCTCTCTTTTCCCCTCTCCCTTATGGAACTCACTCCTCTCCTCTCTTTCTTTCTCTCTTTTAATGCTCTCACCTTCTCCTGCTGTGGTCATACTTGCAACATTGAGAGCATGGCTAAAGGCCTGTCATTATGGATTACCATGACCCTCATCTGGACACCTTTAGTAAGGGCTCTATAGCTTCCTTTACTTACTGAGAACAAGAGTATGTGTGTGTGTGTGTGTTCTTCACCAAGAGCCTCTTCAAATTCCTGGGCCCTGCCACGGGTACTGGGGCCCTGTAAACACTGCTGACATGAATAGGCAGAGTAGCTTAGTGTGTGTGTCTGTGTGTTTGGTTGTCTTACTCTGTGGAGGTCTTGGCCAGGGTGTCACAGGAGCTGTAGCTGACCCCAGAGAAGGCCTCCTTACAGGGCAAGGTCCTCATTCCATCCATCCAGTCACCCATCGTCCCCATCGAGGGAACCTCAGAACTGCTCCTGTCCAACAACAAGTTGGCTGGCCTGAGAGGACACAGGATGAGAAACAGTGAAAAAAAATATATAAATAAAGAATGAATAAACCGTGGGGAACGATCTGTAACATAAGGGTTTATGGCATAGTTTCAGGAACACAAAGGCATTAGCGTCACCCAGATCATCAGCTGACATTTACACAACAACTTGGTTTTTGAAATATCTATTTCCATTAACTCCATTTACTACTGCACTCAAAACTGCTTTCTGTTAGCCACCTCTTGTGCAGCAATTTATTACACTATGTACAGAGTTGGTATTAGGCATATAGGCTCTGATCGTGCCACTCCCCAGAAGAAGTCAGCAAAACTGGAATGGGGAGTGAGGAAAAGAAACGTCCTACCCAGGGAACTCAAAGCCTACAGGTGGACACGATGGGGGGAAGAGCTCCTGAAATGCTAAATGCGCAGCAGCATTTAGCAGCAGTAGTGTTGCAGGACTATTTGCAGTGAAGCAAAAAAAAAAAAGAAGAAAGCACTGTCAGCAAAAAGACTGCCTTAAGAAAGGCTCAGACTACATGGGTTTTAAAATCCTGACCGATATTGAAATCGAGTTACATCACATTAAGGAGAAACTTCACATATTCTCTTTCTCTCTAATCTCACAACATGCACACACTACAAGATTTGAATATAAAGGTTCATCACACACTACAGGATATTAAGATTATTGTGCCAAAGGGAGCAATGGACCACTTTCCGTGATCTCATGGTGAAGCAGACGTAAACAAAATGGAGAATGATGAGGAACAACTTTCTATAGCAATGTTACTGCTCTGCAGAGACGCGGTCTACGCTGGTTGTCTATTCCCCAGCGAGAACTGGAGTTTTTTAATATCTGTCAACAGTAGTA